TCTTTTGTTGTGGAGAGTGAACACAGCAGCGCCACAGTGACCCGGCCATTTCTACGTGGACTTTCTTGTGGCCTTGGGTCCCATTCTCAGGTTGTGCAGCCGTTCTTATATTGCTTTGGGAACTTGTTCCTCTGCTCTCCCCATAAACTGACTGCCCCAGGAACTTCCTGTGTGACCTTGAGTTGCCATTGTCAAGGTGATCCCATGGAGGTAGTTCTTTCAAAGGAGTCCTGCTCCTGTTTTATGCCCATCCACTTTTATCCTGCCTATAACTTTTTTTTTTAAATCATTTTATTAGGGGCTTACACAACTCTTATCACAATCCATACACACATCAATTGTGTAAAGCACATTTGTACATTCATTGCCCTTGTCATTCTCAAAACATTTCCTCTCCACTTAAGACCCCGGCATTAGATCCTCATTTTTCCTGCCTATAACTTTTGGAAGTGAATCCCAAACACATGATCATATCTTCTGTAGACATTGAAGTATTTATCTGTTTTTCTAAAAATATATCACTATGTGATAACAGACATATAGCGAGATTGATCAGTCCTAAACGTCCAGACAGTGCTCGCTCGCTCTTCTCATTTTGAGTCATGTCCCGTCAGCCAATGAAGTGTCGAAGGCTTTCCTCCCACCGTGCCATTAAGATCCACTCGAATTGGAGAAGACAGCTCTTCTTGACTCATAGTCTGAGTGCCTTCTGACCTGAGGGGCTCATCTTCTGGCACTGTCTCTGGCACTGTTCTGCTGTTGATTAGCTTTTCAGTAACCGACAATGTTTCGATGCTATCCATGGGGTTTTCAGTGGCTAATTCCTCTGAAGTGAACAGCCGATTCTTTCTTCATAATTTGCTCCTAATCTGGAAGCTCTGTATTTGAAATACCACTGACATAGCGTTCAGTATTATAACAACACACCATCTGCCATAGTAAGACAAACAGATAGACAAGTGGTGGAATTTAACAGTATATCCTTTGAATTAAAATTTTGATTTAATATGCCGATCAGACTTAGATTCAATTTTTTCCCCTTCCAATGGCAGGGGAAGATGTCTTTGTAAGTGATACTATGTTTTTGTATCAGGAGAAATACTATTCGATAGTTCCTATTAAGGTAATGTTAGTAGTTGTCCATGCTCAATGAGTAGATCCAGTAACTCATTAGAGACTTTGAAAATGGGATATTGTAATTCTATTACCCTCCCACACACCCACACACTTATTATCTGAAATATTACTATAAAGAGAACCTTCCTCATGTTTACGATATGGTTGTTCAGGTGTGTTGTTTGCATAGGAGCGGCATGCTTATGTGGATACATGCATACATATATCTATATCTACAGATAGACTCATGTATTTCTATTTATTAAATTTCAGGACTTTTATCTGACCATTATAGTTGTAGTGACCTACTGGATTTCTTAAAATAAAGAATTATAATACGCTCATGGTTTAAACATATTTGTTGTATTCAGCCCCCCTCCCTCTTTTTTTTTACTAATTTGTAACATTATTATCTTCCTTACTGTTTTTGATGCTGCTAATTGGACACACATACTCTTTAGCAGTCAGGAAATAGGAATTTAAGAAAATTTCAAAAACCCTGTTTCTGTTTAGTGGATTTTCCTGTAATGCAGATGAATTCAGATAGGAGTGGGTGGTAGAAAATAGCATCTTCCAACAGAGACGTACTGCAGCTGCTCGGATATGATGTCAGAGAAACCATCTAATACTGTAAGACTGTCTTAGGAGTTCATTTGCATTGTGGTAGATTTAGCCCTGTGGTGGGCATTCTTCAACACAGCAGTTAAATCTCTATAAACCACACTGAATATTTATCTCACGTTTTCTATTCTGTCAGGAGTCTTTTAATGTTGTTAAGTACAGGAATTATACTGTGTTAAATTGCGGGGGGCAGGGAGGGAGAACAATCCTAAAACAATTTTCCAACCAAAAAATGCCCACTCACATCTCCTAACACATTGCCTCTTTGCTTGATAATACAAAGGTATTGCGTACATTTTATCTTCCTGATAGTTGTAATTCCTCCGTTTGCTAAATACGTGATCTCCAAAACTAAAGTCTCTTTAAAATCTACAACCACTCAAATTAGTGTATTTAGTGACAAATTTTAATATAAAGAAGTTCAAATGCCCCCCTCCCCCCACTGAATATCTTTAGTGAATGCCATTTATATACCAGCGCTAGGTGCTCTGAGATCATAGTGAGTTAGAGGGAGAGATTAACTTTAATCATATCATCCCACAATCACATATTAAGTTACATTCAGACAAATTAGACTGTTCTGGGAGTGCCCTAAATGGAGGGTGGTTGACCTAGTTATGGAGATCATGGTAGATTTTCCTGAGGAAGTAATTCCTAAGATGGGACTGAGAAATGAAAACAAGTTTTCTAGGTAAACAGGAAGAAACCCTGGTGGCATATAGTGGTTTATACAAGTTCAGCCATTCATAGCCACCAGTCGCTCCGTGGAAGAAGATGCGGCTGCCTTCCACTATCAAGATCCACAGTCTCAGAAAGTCAAAGGGGCAAGTTCGGCTCTGTCCTATCGGGTTGCTCTGAGATGGAACTGACAGTGTGGCAGTGCATTTAGGCAGACAAGAGAGGGGAGAACATTCTAGTCTAGTAAGCACCATGTGCCAAGTGCCTGTGGTGGGAGGGACAATGATCTGAAAAAATTGCCAAGAGCGAGGGAGAGAATGGTTTGAGATGAGGCTGGGGAGGTAAATGGGGCCATTATGTAGGCCATGGTAGTTCGTCTTGAGTACAGTTGGGTCTTTATCCTCAAGGCAGAGGGATGACATTGAAGTGATGGCGTGTTGCATTGTCAGTTCCCTCTAGCAGTGTTGTGGAAGAAAGGTCCCTTGATCTACTTCCATAAGGTAGCTGTTTTGGTTAGTTGCTGTTGAGTTGATTCTGACTCATGGTGATCCCGTGTGTGTCGAAGTAGAATTGTGCCCCAGAGGGTTCTCAAGGCTGTGAGCTCTGGAAAGCAACCAGCACGTGAGCTGGCAAGCTACTGGTGACTCCTAGGATTGGCAAGCAGTTTGGTAGTCCACTGGCACAGGTGATGCACCAGAAGCAGGCTATCCTCTAGATCCCCATTCAGAGGAAGTTGTTTGGTGACAGTGGAAGCCACCCTGCAATGTGCCGGCACGCTTCCTTTTGTTCATCTGGCCACTTCATTTCACCTGAGTTTCCTGTTCTCTCTGCCTTCTCATCTCTTTTTTTTTTTTTTTGAGGGGGAGGGGAGGCAAAAGCTGCCTTTGGTCTCTTATACTTGATTATTTTAAGGTGCATGCTTATTTTATAGGCCCATCTAATAAATGACGGAAAGGTGCCTCTGGAGTGTCTTCTTCAGTTTCCTAATGAACAGTCGTTTCAGGGCAGATAACCCTTAAGGGTCTTCCCGTCCCTTTTAGATCAGTAAGTCTGTTTTGTTTGCTTGTTTTCATTTCAATTTTTAAAATTCAGTTTTGTTCTACATTTTTTACCTTAGGACCTTCTATTGTGGTCCCCATCAGAGTGCTTAGTAGTGGTAGCCTGGTACCATGTAGTTCTTCTGTTCTCTGGTTAGTGGAAGCTGTGGTTCATGTGGGCCTTTAGAAAGATTAGACTCTCAAGATTTGGGTTCTAAAAACAGTTGCCATACCCCTCTGAGCTAGCCTCTACCTTGACTATAACTAGCCTGGTAGATTCCCTTGGAAACCACTGGTGTGATTGGACCTGGTGCTGGAAGGCATCCTAAGGGGACACAGACAAGCGTATTGCTGAGTGAACTGTCTACAGGTATCCACTGATTGCAGAGACACATGTAAACATGGTTCTTTTGGCAAAAACCTGTGCATCTATGAAGTAGAACCTTAGTAGCCGTACTTTAGGCTCACCTTCATATTTCCCTCTGTGTTAGACAGGGTTCCCTAGAGAGATAAAACCAAATTCCTGATAATTTAATATATTTATTTATAAAGATAATTAGATATATAATGAGAAATGAACTGTCAAATCATATACAGATAAATATATAATACAAGAAATAAACAGTGAAATTAGAAAGCACTACAAATGGCTCAGTGCAACTCACGTCGTGAGAGAAAGTTGAGAGACTAGCAGTCCTTCGAGTCTCTGTCTGATGCCAGATCTTCCTCTATTTGTAGAGAGAGCTAGGCTATGTCAGCACAGCAGCCAATCACAAGGCAGGTCACCAACCGCCAGTCCCCAGCTCCAGAGAAGTCTTAAAGGGACCTCAACTTACAGCGACACAGTCCATAGGCTAGGCGTCCCACAGGCAGTGTAGCCTTTAAATTGAGGCACAGAACATGCAAGGCAGCTGCACACTGGTCCGATGATCACAGAGCGAGAGACAAGAAAGGCAAGGCTCACCGAGCCATTTATCTCTCTGCCCTTCAGTCAATCCCACCTGCGTTTATTAGCCAGGCTGGCACAATAAACTATCTCACCCTCCCACTCAGCCAAGAATAAGGAAAATACTTGAAGTTCTCTTCTCTACTCCCGTTAACGCTTTTTCAATGGGGGCTATTTGCTCTGGTCCCGTGACTCATTTTTTGGAGTAGTCAATTCATTTCACAAGTCTGAGTTTGTGTTCATGGACTGCTAATATTTTAAAGAAGGACTTGACTTGCTAATTCATGGTTGGTCATCATTGTGGTCACCACCTGTAATTATGTGGATTAATACATGTTTATTCTGATGGTTGTGCCCCTCTAGTCTGTAGACCAGTGACTGGTTGATGACTTTATTCTTCACTTCCATTTTTCTCTGCTCCTTAACTCCATTGGGTGGAGTGTGTGTCCTTATCCTAGCTGTGCTGCAGAATGAACTGGGCAGATGTGCGTGGCTATTGGGCCACCCTATGTCAATTATATAAAAGTGATAGGATTAAGCAATTGATTAGAGTATCCACTTTACACTTTCAATATTTAATACCTTGTTCTATTTCTTTATAGGAATACCCATGGCTTGATAAAAACCATTGTGAAATTATTACAGATGCAAGCTCTTAAGGAAGGCCATGGCGAGGAGAAGAATGTTCAGGGGCTCTATACTATTAGGTAAGCCTTGTCTCCGGTCTTTTCTTTTACACACGAGTCTGTGAATCACCTGGATATCTTGTTGAGGTGCAGATACCCTTCCCACAGGTCTAGGCTGGGTCTATGGCTCTGCATGTCTAACAGGCTCTCAGGTGCTGCTGGCACCGCCAGGCCCTCACCACACGGCGGTGAAAGCAGAGCCGTCAGCAGCAGCAGCAGCAGCAGCAGCAGCAGCAGCAGCAGCAGTGCCCGGGAGGCTCGTAAGGAACAGGAATGCAAGTTTCAGGCCCCACCCCAGACTGCCTGAATCAAGACTTTTTATTTTAGGATACTTTCTCCCAAGTGACTCGCAGGCACATTAAAATTGAAATAGTTTAATGGTTTCTGTGGTTTGGAAGAAAGGCCTAGTGATCCACTTCTGAAAATCAACCAGAGAAAACCCTGTGACGCTCAGTTCTTCTCTGACACACACGCATGTGGAACACTCATGAATCGGGCTGGTACGACGGCCCATGGGCTGGGTCAGCTGTTGCTCAGAGGACACCCTCTGTCAGGCAGCAGAGCATGGAGCCCTCGCATTTGCATGCAGCTTGTCCCCCCGGCTGTCAGCGTGAGACCTGCACTGTGACGCTTCACCGGTCTTCCTTTTTATCATTCATTTTCTCCCCTATGTGGTCCTTCTAACGGCACCCAGTTTCAAAAGGCAAGAGGTGCCAGCAGCGGAGGGGGGCCCTCATGTGAGGAGCTGAAATCAATTGGAGACATACAGTTCGTCCTCAGATAGGCAGCACATTAAGAGGGCCAGAATCAATCACCTGAGTTGGCATAATCTGGTAATGTTTATGGAGAGCCCTTGTGTGAATGACTGTTTGGCACTATAAATCAGTAGAGTGCAATCGAGTGTCTAAGAGCCCCAACTTCCTCCAGGGGAGACTGTGGATGATAGAAAGAGAGGAGAGGTAAGCCTGAAGAGGACATTCCCCTCGAGAGCTACGATTACCTGAGCCAAACAAAATTGTCATGCTGTTTTAGACCCTTCTTGGCAACATGTTGGCTCACAGTATCATCTGGTCTTGGAGAGGCAACTGATGAGCTGTGTCTGAAACATGAAAAGGATCTGAGAAACTTAGAACTCCGCGGAGAGGTGTTCCTGGCTATGCTGGAGGATTAGTGGACTATGTAGGTTGAATGACATGTAATTGTAAGCTTGCAGGGCACCAAGCTAACCTATGCTTTCATGGTGTTAAGCACTCTTCTAGTATATGTGGGCATTTAAGTCTGTCTGGTTTTGTTCTCTACGAATGGCTGGTGAACTTGGTACACAATATATGGCCACTTCCGATGGCTCTGTTCTGGACTGTAGTAGCTTTGCCAGAATGGGGTTGGAGACCATAGAGCTTAGTGGTTCTCACATGTCTTGTGTCTAAACACCACCCAGGAAGCTTGTTAACAGTCCTGCTTCTCAAACTCACTGGCCAGAGAGTCTCATCTATTCAGTAGGCTTAGTGCAAGTCTGAGTAAATGTTTATCCAACTGCTCAGTATTACGGAGGTAGGTCATTTGTGGATAGCATATTTATTTTTCTTTTTTTTGGATCACATATTTCTTTAGCCCCAGGGAGCTCGATGGTACCTCAGTGAGCTACAAGGACCCCCTTGGGGTAGACTGGATGTGTCTTCAGTGGCTTATACCAGGCCTCTCTGCCTCTGTGCCCTGTATAGGCAGTAAGAGGTCTATGTATTCCAGAGCAGCAAGCCACTAAGTTCATATTATGTTAACCATGGACAACAGAGAGGCCTAGGCCCTGGCCAAAGAACAAATCTAAATAAAGGAACGGCAGGCCAAAAGAGAGAAACAGACTGTGGATGCAAGAGGGCGCGGAAGCAACTTCAGCGTCATTGTCTGGGCAGTGAAAGCATGCCTTAGTTCTCTTTGAACAGTTCTGTTCAGCCGGCAGGCTCACCGTGAGATGGAACTGACTCCAAGGTGGTGGAGATTGGTTTTCTAAAGCTTTAGAAGTCCTTTCTACTTGTGGATAATTTTCTTTCTAATGATCTAGATATCACCACTACTAACCCACTCTTTTGGCATTAGTAGTGGTCAGAAAATCTGCTGAGAATGGGGAGCAGGAGAATGTTGAGGCAGTGTGCTAGAGAAAGACATCATCCTGGTACAGTGGAGTGGAGGGGCTCAGAAAGAAGTGGAAGGCCCTTGGTGAGATCAATTGACACAGTAGCTGCAACGGCGGGGACGGCGCAGGACGAGCGTGTGTGGTTCTGTTGTGCAGAGGGTCACTGTGAGTCTGAACCCACTCAACGGCACCCGACACCAGCGAGACATTCTTTCATTCAAGGTCCCTTCCTCCCCCTGCCTTGTCTAATAGGAATTTTGTCTCCATTAGCCAGGATCCCACTTTTCTGTAAAGCGCTGACTCTAACTAAATTAAACAGTCTCAGATATTAACAGTGTAAGAAGCTGATATTTCGGTTGCAAGAAGAATAACTGAAATTTTAAGATTTGTAACTCACAAGAGGCTTGTTTTCTCATTTGCTTTGTATATGCCCCCCTCCTGCCCCCCAGCGTTGTATCACGTGCTTTTGGTTTTAATTTTTTCTATGCATATTCATATTATGGCAGTCTTTTTCAGATCTCTCTCTCCCCTCAGTTAAAGTGAGGAAATAGCTGTGAATTCATGAACAGTAACTGCTTGTTCCAGAATCCGTGCATCATTCTGATGTGCCAGACAGTGGCTGACATGCACAAATATCCGATGTTAAGAATCTTATTTATGGGAAGGTTTGGTCTGATCACCACCAAGCTGTACTTTCTGAAATGAGAGAATTTAAATGTTTTTGGCAGATGGTGTGCTCTGAAGTGGGTGATTGGACCAATAGCAATGGATGGTTGTAGGCTGAGTAGCTGAAAGCCGTGTGCTCTGTGCGTGTATTTGCTCACCTATTGGTGTACATGTTCTGTAGTGTATATGAACGGGCAGTTAATTTTCAGAACTGAAAAGATGTGTGTCCTAGGACCAATCAACAACTTTGGAAGTCAGACTGCTTTTTTTACTTGTCTCTGAAGGCAAATGCATCTGTGTCCTGAGCCCCTCGGACAAAGACAAATAATAGGAAGACCAAGAGAGGCCCTGACACAAGTGCACAGAAGCTAGTTCGAGGCTGTGGGTATAACAATGTTGCCCCATCTTAATTTTCATAATTAATTTTTCCTTAGTGTGGAACTGTTTTTACATTTTCTTTTATAGAGCCTATGAAGCTTGAGACTTGAGACAGCCAATGCAGAGCACATGAGGAGTGTTTTAGGCCCAGGAAAAAGCCCTCAAGCCAGGCGCCCAGATGCTGTCATGTGAAGGAGCTTGGCAGGCTAGCTGAACCACAGGCAGCGGGGTGGCTGGAGCTCTGTGCTCAAGGGAAGGAGAGGCTCAGGAGAGTTAGGCAGGGGTTAGACTACTTAAGGCCATGCCATAGCCTTTGGTTTTTATTGAAAGATCAATGTGAATGAGTACACGTTTTCCATTTTAACTTATTGTTTTGAAGTGATCTCAGAATTACAGAGAAACTCCAAGAGTAGCACAAAAGACCCCTGAACTAAAAAATACAAACTGCCCTGTCGAGTTAGTTCTGACTCATAGTGACCCCATGTGATAGGTAGGTTTATTGTGCCAACCTGGCCAATGGGAATATGTGGGAATAATCAGATTGCAGTTTAATTAGAGGTCAAAGAGATAAATGGCTCTGCAAGGCCCCCGCCCTCCCCTTGCTCTCTGGTGATCAGAGTGTGCAGGAACATGCGTGCTGCTTCTCTAGCTAGTTCTCTGCCTCAGCCTGTGAGCTACACTACCTGTGGGCTAGGTGAATCCGTGGATCATGTTGCTAAAGCTTGAGGCTCCTTTGAGACCTGATTCACCACGATGCTGGTGTGTATATAGCTTGAGCTTTAAGCTGTGAATCCTGTGGCCTTGTATTGCTTGCACTCGACATCCTACCCAGGCCTGCTTTGCTAAGCTCTCAAGCTACTGACTGTTGGTGACCCACCCTGCTGCTTGCTGCCTGTGGGCAGACTCTGCTTCCCTTGTCCCACGGAGGACTCTGCTCTCTGCTTCCGTGACCTTCGACCCGGCAGCCCATGTGAATTGAAGGACTTCCAGTATATTAACTGTTCCATGGAAGTGAGTTGAACTGAACTCTTTGGACTGCTGTGTAGATTAATTAGCTATTATATTCCTTTTTGCTGTATAAACCTATCCATATATATATATATATATATATATAAAATCATAAGTGTCTTGGTGTCATTGCTCTAGAGAACCCTGCCTAACACACTCTATAAAGACAGAATACAACTGCCGCTGTGGGTTTTCAAGACTGCAAAGAAAGGAGTAGAAAGCCTCATCTTTTTCCACAAAAGATGCCCCATCTATCATTTCTTCAGCTCTATCATTTTTTTTCCTTTTGGTTTATCACCTTTCCACATTAAAATCATTTTTAAAAAGCTATATTTGAGAGTAGGCTGCATGCATAATGGTGCACATCTTCTAAGGATAGGGACCTCTTATAGAGCAGAACGCATCAGTCGAAAGGAGGACATTGAATCCTCAAGGTCCAATACTTGCATCTACAGTCTGTGAGCTAGTTTTGCTAACTGAATCAGTGAAGTACTTTTTTTTTTTTAGTACTGTACTTTTATGCCTTTGCTTTCTTTAAAAAGTACAAGTTCTAGTATAGAATCACCTGTTGACTTTAGTTATCCTATTTTCTTGGTTGTTTTTTTAAGATCTGGAATTTGTCATCATCTTCCTTGGCTTTCATTCCATTGACATTTTGAAGGTTAGTCTTATTGAAGGGTCATCAGTTTGGGTTGGTCTGAGGTGTCCTCCAGATCAAACCAAGGACATGCGTTCCGAGTTGAAATACCACCTACTCGGTTCTCAGACTGTCCCCTCGATGCTCATGTGGCCCCCAGTGAGAAGAAGACAGGGGCTTTTCCAGTTTTGATCACCAAGT